CGGTAATTTGTACCGGCCGCACCCCCCTATGCACGGCCCTGTATATTGTGCGCTTATTTATTAGTCTCTTTCAAACTGATTTCAACGATATATGGTTTGATATGTTCATCTTCAATAGTTATAGGGAAAAATGTGAAAACCCCTTCCAAGGTCTCATGTTGAAGAAAGAAAAAAAAAAGATACCATTTAAGCTTTAGAGAGAATTATTTAAATATTAACAGTTTATTGTTCAAATGTTATTCATTAATTTACAAGGTGAAATCGGGGGTGAAATATTAAAATAAATTCAGTTGTCTTAAGCTATTATTATTTTAAAAAAAATTGAGACCTATGAAGAGGCTTTCGCGATATTCCCTATCGCTTTTAAAGGTAAACATATCAAACTGTATATCGTTGCACTCAGGATGAAGGGGACTAGCAAATTAGTGCACAATATACATGGTGTTCCATTTAAAAAAATATAATTTTGCTCAGCTTCACTTTTTTGACGCATCCTGTATGCTTAAATCTAACGTAAAGCTTGTTTTTTTTTTAAAGATAATTCCCCAAGTCAAAAATTTAGTAACTATGTTGGCAACACAAGCCTTTTCTACATAAAAAAATTGAAAGCATTGACAATTTTACATTATATTGCCAACATAATGTCATTTTGACTTTTATCTTTAAAAAAAAAACACACTTTACCTAGTTAAAAACCTTTGACAATTTTTTAAAGCTTTTGTATTCGACACTTTTGTCAAATTGTCAAATGGAAAAGTTAGGACGGGGTGACATTCATAATAGATCACCCTGTACCTACCTACTAAACTGTCCACACATACAGAAACAAAATCACTATGGGGGCTCTGCACGCGTAGCAAATACACTTGCGGGCCCCCATTGCCCCCGGTTCCGGCGCCTATGAAATTAACCCACTCGCTAGAGCTCGTGGGTTAAACTGTCTTCTCATAAATAAACATTTATTTTATTTACAATCATACATGTAATGTTGACTTTACTGACTTTTAAAAAGTTCGAAAATGTCACTTTTTTGACTATTACTTTCGGCCCACGGGTCGAAAGTAAATGAAATTTTTAAAATTTATTGTATTTTTTGACTTTTACTTTCGGCCCACGAGTCGAAAGTAAACTTTCGACCCGTGTGCCGAAAGTAAATGAAATTGTTAATTATTGTATTTTTTAGTTTTAATTCAAATGAAAATTTCAAAATTCGAATGATTGTAAATAAAATAGTATACATACCTCGGTGAAAAGTTTCATTACTGTCTCGAGATTTCAGTTAGACCTCGGCTGCGCCTCGGTCTAACTTAAATCTCTCGACAGTAATGAAACACTTTCCACCTCGGTATGTAATATATTATAACTCACTTGTAACGGTCCAAAATTACACAACTAATTCTTACCTACTCTCAATTTTATATTCAAGATTTCCTTAAATTTGTCAACATTTTCTCTCTATAAAATTTCATCAATAATCTCAACGGTTGTAGATCCTTTAAATTTCCTAATTTTCAATAGTCAAATCTATTTGCTGTAATGGTTTTTCCTCATTTTAATCCATATTTTAATTCAATTTCAAAATCAAAACAAAGCAATATTTTGATTCCAATTTTAAATTCGATCATCTGTTTTCATAACAAAAATAAAGAATTCATTTGTCAAAAATATTTCGTGGGGTTGTGTTCCGAAATCATATTGACCCGTTTTCAAGTGTATGTACAGAACTACTCCGTTCGTACTTACTCTGTTCGGTTATTGAGCGCTATTGATCTCGGCGCAAGTTCTATTGAACCCCGAGTCGATCATTGGTTCGATGGCCTTTTGAGATTTTGTGCAATATCCTTGCTTTCGGTTTTTTTGAGTTTTTGATTGTCAATATGTTCTGTCAACCAGCGGTCGATTAGTAATGTTTTCAGTATCGTCGATTCTTTTTTAAGCCCTCTAATTTTACAAACGGATCACTTACTCTATTTTGTATTCTTCAAGTTTTGATTGTTTTATGGGATAATTATTTGTTGTTAATATCATTATTCATTGGCCGTTGTCATTTTTCTCAGATTATATTGTTGTGTGCAATTTTTGTTAAGTAAAAATTCTTTCGATTAATTTTTGATGTTTGTCGTTATTCTTAATCATCTCTGAGTCTGAATTCCTCCCTTTAGGCTAGCTTATTAATCGAATGTGTAGCACATTTCTTTTCACATCTGGACGTTGGAGAATTAGGGTCTTTTTGAAGATTGTCTTCGCCCTTGTGGGATTTCGACCCTAAATTCTCATTTGAAATTATAACATATTTAGTTGCCTTTTTGCCTTACGTTTTCCTAGTGTTATAATTTTCGCCGATTAATTCGGATTTTTACAACTCCATGTAGTAAGTTGCTTACACGTTTTTTTTTTCCATAGAAAATTCTGACTTTTTCAATTTAATTTAGTTAAAAGCTGCCCTAAAGAGTAGAGTATTCTCACTCACTCTAGGATATCCAATCCTCGATCCAGATTTCCAGAGATTTTCGAGGCAAACAAAAACAAACCCTATCAACAGGTAAAAAACATAACCTTATTTCAATTTTTGCAAACTCGAGGCACATTTTTCCTAATTACTATCAAAGCTTTATTATGATTTCATCCAATTTAATTAATTAATACATTATTATTCAATTTTTCTATTAAAATAATTTTCAAGAGCTATAGGTAGTCTTTTATCAAGTAAATTTGCTGTTGGAAGCTAATTAAGTTACATAATAGCTTCATTTTCTAATTCAATCTATTCATGAAGTGCTTCGCTATTGGTCCAATTACAAGTACAGTGTGTATAACAGTTTTTCTCTTAGGGTTTTTTTTTTTACGAGGGGTTTTTCTACCATCAAGTTTTCCCTCACGGTTACCACAATAGACGTTCAATTGTAACCGAAATTGAACTAAAAGGCTAACAGATACCAGCCTAAGTAATTGGACGGTTACTCGAGTCTTCAATCAAGTTAACCACAACCAGTAGCCAGGACTAATCTGGTTAATTGTAAGAACTACCATCACCTGGAACATTTTGGTATCGTACTAGTTTTAGTTAAACTATTTATTATTATTGTTTATTTACATTCTGTCCCTATTTGTACACCACTGTGATCACTTTCGGTATTTCAGGGAATAATTCATTGCTTGCCCCCAGTGTGGCAAATGAATTATTAAATAGGTAACTTAACTAGACATAACCTGATTAATTAATGTCAATTTACTGGTAGTTCTGGTTACATAAGTGTAAAATAACCGCTCCAATTTATTATTCATTCATTTTTTTTTTTTTTTTTCTCTTCAATTTATATTATCAACTTTTCTATTTATACTTTTTTTTTATTATTCATTTGGGTTATTGAGTTTCAATAACATATTTTTGCATTTAAATTTAATTGTTCAGGACTATAGTAATTATTTCACAAGTATAGCATTTCTGTATTTGTTAGTTAACGCTTCATGACAAGGTCATTTTATTAATAGCTAATTTACTTGATTATTATTTTTTTTCTCAAATTCAAATTATTGTTCATTGTGGACTGCGGCCATTTGGTGAATAAACAACTGTAGCACTTGATTTCTTGACTTTTATTTGGTTTTATGCACACAGCCTGGTTTTGCTAATATTTTTCTTTTTATTAATCATTATTTGAATTGTAAGGACCTGAAGCCAGATACCATCCTGGAGAGTCCGACTCATCTGTTCAGAGTCGGTGGCGCCCAAAACTAAAACCCACCCATACTCTCCGAATTGTTTAGTTCTGAGCTAGGGCATAATTTGCACGCACTTCGACCTTCAGTCCTACAATCTCAAGTTCTTCATTCATTTATTTTTATTTTTATTTTTTTTTTATTTACATTATTTTTATTTTTTTTTTATTTTTTTTTTATTTTCGACTTTAATTTTTTTTTAAATTTATTTTTCTAAATTTTTTTTTTTTAATAAACTTTTCTTAATCAGCGAAAAAGCGTGGCACACTTGGTGTATAAATAACTATTATTAACTTGACAAATTGACAATACAATGACAATACAATAAAAATATTGAAATACTGCTACCCTGAACATATAATATAATATATAACACAGGGCGACTGAAATCAACAAATTCGAAAGTCTAAAACATAGAAAAAACGTTTGAGTGTACAAGCTTAAAAATCGTGGATGATAGTTTGTACATAATAAATATCTACAGAGCACTCAGCGGCAACGTGAAACAGTTTTGTTCCAACCTCCATGAAATTTGTACCAGCCTGCCAAAGAAATCAAAAACAATCGTGGTTGGGCGATTTCATTATCAATTATAGGTACCTGGAAAATAGCCACTCTACCAATCAACTTAAATAAGATTCTGGCGCTTTTCAAATTGTTTCTGGAGATTCGATAAGGTTTCAGTGTTTTGGAGCGTCCTAAAATGGGTTTCAAACTTCTGAATTGTTTAAAAATACTTTTGGAATTTGTAATTCGATTTTTGAATGTTTCGGGGCATTGAAAAATGGTACTGAAATTTCCAAAATGTTCATCTGAAGCATGCTTTTGGAAATTCTGAATTGAGTTTTGAGTGTTTTAAACTTTCCGAAAGGCCTATTAAAGTTTCAAAGCATCCTAAATTGTTTCCAGTAGCTTCTAAATTGAATGAGAAACGAATTCTGTGGGAAATTGTTGTGTACATCTTAAAGACTTCCCTGAGATGTCCAAATGTCTTGATTAAGGCGTCTGAAAGACATCTACCTAAAGACGTTTTCAGGGCTGAGATTGGGGACATTCTAAATATGAGATGTCTTAGACGTCATTGGTCTTCAGACGTTCAGACGTAATGCAGATCTATAAAAGTTTTAAAACTTTGTGTGCTGTTTGGGTAGGTTGGTCCGATAATGTATATAGCTTTACAAAATAATTTCCATTATAGGAAATAATATCGCTGAATTATATCCGTATAATTTTAGATGAATTAACTTTTATAGTTTAAAACATGTGTTTTCTAATTTTAGGCTACGAAGTCCGCGAGCAATACGTCAGAGCACCAATGGGAAGTGAATTAACCGCCTTGAAGTGCATAATCAAAACCAAACCATACTATTCACGAGAATGCCGTGCAAAAGTGTTTCAAGGGCTAATTTTCAGTTTCAAGGATTTCATAACATATATTAAAAGAGACGTAGAACTTAAAGATACTGAACACAATCAACTCATAGCTGAAGCCATGCTCGAAGCTATCTTTGTCTTTCTAAATGATTTCGATTTGTCGTGGAGAGAGAGTCTAGGAAGTTTGGAAGTTTACATGTTGAATTATCAATTTTTTTCTTGTTCAATGAACTGGAACTCAAATGTTGTTATACTCGGTTTGAAAATCCTTAATATCACAACGTTGAAAAACCTGACTGATAATATGATATTGTTGGTGGATTATAGTAATGAGCATGACGAGATGGGAATCATGCTCATGGACAAATGTGCAAGTTCTAATGTGGGGGTGAGGAAAGCAGCGATGGCGGTGATATGCACCATTTGTCAAAAAATTAACGAAGGTGAGCGACATAAATAAACGTTCGACAGTTGGTTTGAGTATTACCGCAGCTTCCGCATGATTATTGGCGATTTACGAAAAAACACTATTTTTAGGTTTTGAATCATATAAACAAATCTTACTCCACTACTTAACTCCGGAAGTAATACTCACTAAAGCAATCAATGACAGCAATCATTCAATACGTGCCATAGCTCTCAGTTGCCTTCAAGAAATAATTATGATGGAGGAATTTGAAGGGTATCTTTCAAGCACAATATTTATTGTAAGTAGGCGTATCTCTCATAAACATCAGTGTTATTTTCCAATTTCCATGATACATACAGTATATTTTTTAGGACAAAATTCTTGATATTATAGCCAAAGAATTCGACCAAATGATTCTAAAAGTATCCGTGAAACTGATTAGACAAATTTGTGAGAACGATAAAAATGAGACAATAGATAATTTATTGAAAATTTATAAGGTGATGTCTAGGGTAGCTATTCAAGAAAGAAATGCAGACGTTCAAGAAGAAGCTGTTAAGTTTTGGAAATTTGTGACAAAGAGAAATTTGGAACTACAAGGTGAACATTTCTGAAATAAAGGTCTCTTAGATTTTTAGATACCTACATCTTAAATAATTACAATATTTCGTCGTTGGCAATTTGTAGGTATGATTGATGATGTTTTTCCCAATATCACTTTCTCAAAAGAACACAAAAAAATCATCCGATTAGATGACAAGGAAATCTGTAAAAGAATCATCCGAGCTTTGGATAACATGAGTAAAACTGGTTGTTTATACGTTTACCAGCAAGTTTTAGAAAACTCTGAAACTCCAACCCAAGTTTTTTCCACCACTTTAGAAATAATCACAAAACTTTGGAAATTATTGAGAAGATACGATGTCACTCCTGAACTTATATCAATTAATGGAACTTATCCGCAACAATGGTCAATTGATAGTGGCATATTGTCACCTACAACGAATTGGGTGGATAACGATGAAGATATGAGGGAACTGATTGAGGAAATGATAAATGAGGACATTACTGAAATATCTTGTCCTGACGTGGTAAGAAATTTAATTAGTGCACTAAATATTTGATGTTTTTGAAAGAAATTTCTTTAGCTCTCATTAGATTCCGGTTTGAATGTAACAGGACCGCTTTTCAGCCCACTGAATGATACTGAAGATAGGATAGTACAAGTTAGCAGTTTAGATTTTATGGAGTTTATTTTTAGAAAGTTTCCTAATCTTTGTAAATGTTAAAATAAAAATTGACAAGCCCAATAAGGCTGGAACGTTTTTAAAATTTGTTTTATTTCCTTAGTGTGAAATTCTGAAATTGGCGACAAGAGGTATCATCATCGGGCCTTTTGTGCGAAATTTTCTACTGATAACACTTTCAAGACGCGGCAAATATCGCCTGGCAACATGGAACGTCAGAGGTCTTCAAGCGACTGGTAAGCTCAATATTCTTGAAAAGGAGCTTACAAGAAGTAATATTGCGATCGCTGGCCTGTCTGAGACTTATTACAGGGATGCAGCACACTTAGCGTGTAAGACTATTCTCGACTTCAAGTGTGTCAGTGACAGGATAATCACGCTAAGAATCAATGCCTACCGATCAATATTGTGCAGTGGTCTATGCACTTATTTCGAACTCGAATGACGACACTGTGGAATCATTTTATAACGACCTTAAGTCGACCCTGGAATCTCTATCCAATCGCGTGATGGTCCTTGTCCTTGGAGATTTTAATTCTAACAGTAGAAGATGAACACATATTGGTAAATTCGGTCTTGGTGCTAGAAACGAAAGGCGCCAACGTCAACTTTGGATTGTCCACAGTTTCTCTATTACTTGTTTGCACTACATTCATGACGTCTGTATACCTGGGTCTCACCAGGCGGATAATTAATCAATAACGTTTTGGTTGGAGCACGCGACGAAGCCGGTCATCTATTAGTCTTTGAAAAACTCTACCAGGTTCCCATTTTGGCTCAGACCATTAACTCCTTCTTTATGAGCTTCCACATAAGCTGAATGAGATATGTCCACGTTTTAAGCGGGAAATCTTTCAACAGAAATAGTTGCCCCTGATGCCTCTTATTGGTCAAAATATTCGGAATGTCTCGGTGACAGATGAATCTCCTTCTAATAATATGTGGTTTATATTTGAGAGTGTTTTTACATAAGCTGCCCAAAGAAATCATTCTCAACAGCCATTCTCAGACTTAAGATCTCAGGTCTGGATTCTGATACGCAGCACGATCGGTATAGAAAATTGATAAGTACGTAAAGAACTCCTTCCTTCAGTAATTATGCAGGAGGTACAAGCCCACGCTACTAGAGGAGAGACGTTCCTGAGGATAAAATTTCTCTGTCGGGACTTTAAACCCAAAACTTCAGTTGAGAACGCCGATGGACATCTCATCACCAGTTTGGACATATTGTGAAGGGAGAACCTTTTATTCCGAAGTTATCATTCAATCTCCTTTTTTTTATAACGAACGTGAGCAAGATATTATTTTTTTAGAAGTGGTTAGGAAACTGAGAGCCACGGTTAAGCAACAGGCATTGGATGCCCTTTCTGCCGAAACTCTGGAGCGCTTGGATGATGACGGCCTAAATTCTATTCATCGTAATTGTCAGAAAGTTTGGGACACCGGTGTCTGGCCAGACGAATTGATCACTTTAATCTTTGTTCCACTACTAAACATAAAGTCGCCTAAATTATGGGAACTTCTTCTCACCATAGAGGTCCCCACCACCTGATATTTCTCATACAAATAGCTCTATATGAGTCCAACACAGCTCGAGTAAAGAAATGACTGTAACATGTCTGACCAGACTTCAACAAGAAAAGGAATTCGTCAAGGATGTGTCTTATCGCCGGTGTTGTTTAACATCTATTCCGAATTTGTGATGAGACAGGTACTGGGTATCTACTGGACGGTTGGCATGGTGGTGTAACTCTTGGTTAAATCAATATATCTAATTTAAGGTCTGCCGACGATACTGCTTTTTCTCAGGGTAAATTGTTGATCTTCACTACTTAACATCTTAGTAGGCTCGTACACCGAGGAAACATCGAACACGCAACATGCAACGAGCGACATGAAGTAAATACCGCAGATAGACTTTGTGCTGCATATATCCATTGTAAAAACGTACAATGTTTCGAAATCATCGCACACCGGTGCAGTACACGCGTTCACTGCATATGCAGCACAAGTCTATGTGCGGTATTTACTATGTCGCACGTTGCATGTTGCAGGCTTGATATTTCATGTTTCATTGGTGTACGATCGCACAGAACAGCATAGTGCAGCATGTGATCTGAGTATCAACTACAATAAGACCAAGGTCATAATCGTTGATAGGGAACATGACAATCATCCTGAAATAACATCAGTAGGCCGTTGTCAGGTAGTCCAGAGTTTTATGTACCTCGGTTCTTTTATCGACAATTCAGATGTCTACGAGGTTGAAATACGCGCATTCAACAAGCACGGCTAGCCATGACAACAGACAAGACTATAGAGTAAAAATCAAACGAGAAGAAGCCACTGTCGTTAGCGCTGTCAAAGAAAGCAGATTTCCTTTTCTCCGGGTCCGTCCAATTTAAAGTGAGACAAACGATAACGCGTGTGGCTTCTTCTCGATTGATTTTTACTCTAACTAAGGCTATGGTCCGAATATAACTAAATGTTTACCAAAGTAACCGAATCGGTTTACAGATGGTTACTGAAAATACCGGTTACTTGGGGAACGTGAAATCGTGAATATGAAATAAAAAATAATTGACAGAAATTACAGATAAAACCAACAGAACCGACATCCGATGACCGGTTATTATTTTGACATTTGGTTAACCAGATTTCAGGAAACCGAGGTTGAAAAGTAACCACTTTTCCAGGAACCAGAGTAATTTGATGACCGGCTCTTAATTGGATCTAGGAAGATTTTCTAAAGAATTAAGAAGAACCGGTAGTTCAAATATTGATTATCTGATGGGGCTCTTGATCCATTGTATAATATTTCTGGAGCCAATTAGAAGCTGCGAAAGGAATTTCCTTGAATTCCGTCAACAATGTCGCGATGTTATGGTTCGGTATTGGGCAGTCTCCAGAACCTCTGCTATTGTTTCACTCTGTACTGCTGAGCGTTTTTGAGAGAGCATTTCCGTTGAGGTGGATTAAACATAAAACAAGGAAAAAAAAACCTTGGCTCACACAGGGTTTGAGGGTGTCCTCTGGAAACTTGCGCTGACTCAGTAATATCAAAAAGTTTTTTCCCGGTAATGACAATTTTATATCTTATTACAATAGATATCGTAATCTTTATCGTCGACTAGTGAAAGCAGCTAAGGAACTTCACTACGGCAACAGATTATTGAAAGCTAAAAATAAGCAGAAAGAGTCCTGGACTATTATTGGTGAGGTATGTAATCGATCCAAACAATGCAATGGCCAGGAAATTAATATTGATCCCAATACATTGAATTCTTTCTATTGTAATATAGCTCGTAGTTTAACCGACAACATGCCTATTACAGGGGATCCTCTGGACTATTTATCACACTTATCTGTTCCAAATTCCTTTTGCTTTACCCCTGTTCTGAAGCGTGAAATCTATGAGGCTCTTGATGATATTAAAAATAAAAAGTCATGTGGTGATGATGAAATATCATGTGAAATACTCCGAGCCTTACCTGATGATGCATTTGAGGTCTTAGCATTGGGTATTGATGGTTCGTGGAGCGCAGGTAATTTTCCTTCATGCCTGAAATCTGCAAGAGTGATTCCTCTGCATCAGGGTGGAGATTGTCGGGATCCTTCTAATTATCGTCCAATTTCCTTGCTTTCGACCTTATCTAAGGTTATTGAAAAGATCGGTAAAAACAGAGTATGGTGTTTTCTTCGTTCATACAGTCTTATCTCGTCAGGGCAATTTGGATTTCGGAGCTCCCTAGGAACTCACGATGCTATTTTTGACTTTTTAAATAGGGTTTACCTTGACCTCAATGAGGGGAAGGCGGTGGCTGCGGTATTCTGTGATCTTACCAAAGCCTTCGATTGCGTGGACCACAGCATACTTCTGTCCAAACTTGAAATGTATGGATTTAGAGGCTCTTCGCTTGCGTGATTTCGGTCGTATCTGGAGGATCGACAGCAGTCGGTTGTTGTATCCGGCAGTAGGTCCTCAGTTTTGAAAATTGGAAGTGGAGTACCACAAGGGTCTGTCCTGGGTCCCCTTCTATTCCTTATATATATAAACGACCTTGTCAGGGTTAATATATCTGGTCATTTTACACTCTTTGCAGACGTCACCTCTGTTGTCTGGTGCAATGATTCTGTTGATATTCTGAGACAAAATGTATCCCATGATGTATCGAAAATAAAGACGTTCAATTGTAATAAACTTTCTTTAAATGTTGGTAAGACACATGTTATGGGTTTCAAATGTGACATGGATGGATTGTGTTTGGACGGTGAACGAGTACATGCGAGCCCCGCCACTAAATTTTTGGGTGTATTTATCGATAGCGAATTGCGTTTTAATGAGCACATCATCAAGCTTAGCAAGAAATTATCATCCGCTTGTTTCGCAATCAAGGCTGCTTGGGACACTCTTGGTTCCAGGGTGGCACGAGATGTATATTTTGCGCTCTTTGATTCCCATTTGAGGTATGGTATACCGTTCTGGGGCATGAGTAGTCAGTACTTGTTGAACATCATAGTTGTATTGCAGAAAAAGGCAGTGCGTTATATCGTGGGAGCTAATCGGAGACAATCATGTCGTCCAATTTTTATTGAAAATAAAATATTAACTTTAACTTCCTTGTTTGTTCTTGAGACTGCTACTCTTATCCACAAGAATTTGGGTGCAAGTGGGCGAATTTCTAGGCAGCACAATACGCGTGGCGCTGATAAAATTTCTCTTCCTATTCCAACAAGTACACTGACAAAGCAATCATTAATTTATGAAAGCAGAAAAATCTATAACCAACTGCCAACAAACATAAAATCTCTAAATCTCTTAAAAAAATTTAGTTCTTTGAGGGAGCTACTAGTCAGTAAGGCATATTACACCATGGCAGAATTTTATGCTGATTTATTTGCTTGAGGTACTTGCACTGATTGATATTGAGTTTACTTTTGTTATTTTATTTGTTTATTTATTTTTATTTATTTTTTTCCCTAAATTGTGACCCTAACAACATTTATTTTATTTTATTTTTATTTTTTTTGCATATGATCTGACCTGACTTTTAAATATTTATTGTATTCTTAGTTATTAAG